CAAATGTGTTCAGAATTGAAGCTCACATCCCATGCCTCTGATCTCACCTGCCCCATTTTGCTCATCTCAGTCGAATAGAACTTTCAAACTCCTTCCTTTCCCTGGCCTACAGCCAGTCAGTCTCCAAGTCCTTGAATTCTCCCTCTCAAGATTCACTTCTTTTTGTCTCTGCTGCCAACTGTCTTAATCCAGAGCCTCTCCATATTGCAACAAGACTGACATACTCAAAATGTAATTTGGATAATGCTAGCCCCTTGCTTAAACCTTCAAGGATTTCCCACTGAACTCACAACAAACCCATATGCTTAACCCTGGCGTCCATGGTCCAGGTGGCCTTCATCTTTTGGTACTGTCCCTCCTGCTTACTATTTTCCAGCCACCTTGGTTGAATTTAGTGTCTTGAATAAAGCAAGCTCTTCACCTCCTTGGGGGCACTGGATGTGTGCTTTCCTCTGCTTGGGATGCTCTTCTGCCCACTCCCATAATGCTAGCTCCTTCAATAGCTGGTGTCACCTCAACACTTAGTCTCAGGGCTTCTCAACCACCCCTCATCTAAAGTAGGTGACATCCCTATTTGTTTCTATCCTAGCATCTATTATGATCAGTAACTGTGACTTCCTCGTTTACTATTTTATCCGACACTAGCACAATACTAGTACAAGAAGGTATTCAATACATTTTTGTTGAATGAGTAAAGGTTATTTCCATAAAATTTTGGTGATTAAACCTAAGGTGGAGGAAGCTGGTATAAATGGAGGTACTTCTCAAATGCAATTGGTCCAAAGGCCCTGCAAACCTATGGACTCCAGACATCACACCTGATTTCTGTAGGGCTCACCTAGAACTGCAGACTGACTTTAGTTTCCTATAATGTGATAATGTCTTTGCCAAAGAATTTGGACTAGGGGGAAGGAATGTTGAAAGGTGCTATATGAATATGAATTGTGAACACAAATCAGAGAAGGGGCTAAGAAGCTAATATAAATGTATTATTTTAAGGAGTTTATTTTTGTTTTGGGAAGGCAATGACATATAGTGTTTAATTTTTAATCCAAATCTAAAAAATCAAGATACCTACTAAAGATCAATGAAAACAGAAAGGAACCACATACAAAGAAATTAGAGGGCTGCTGTGGGTCTCTGCCATCCGATAATGAATTAGTAATTAACCAGCATCTTTGTAGGTTTTATCAACTCATTTTCTAAGTGAGTATTACACTTATTCTACTGTCTATTTTGTTGCCACTCTGGAAAGCTGATTGTAAACAGCGTTTGAAATCATAGAAGCTTTAGTATAGCACTTAATATTTGAAACTTACTTGGTATCCTATTTATTTACAAATGTTCTAAGAGATGATTGAGCTTCACTCTCCCTTGTCTACAGAAAGCTAAGTTAGAGAGACAAAAATGATTTGCCCAAGAATGCTTGTAACAGACATTAATATAAACATTTTATTTTATCAAGTGATATCAGTTGCCTCAAGCATCCAGTGAGATCCCAAGAGTTTCACCAGCTCCCGGAGCAGCTGCCCCCACCGCTGGCAGGAATGCTGGGGACAAGAGCTCTCTGCTTCCTCTCGGGAGACTCATTGCCACCATCTGCCTAGAGGCCAGTAGGTCTTGTCATGAATAATCAGAATATAAATGTTCCTGACTGAGATGCCCTGTTCATGTCAGTCACCAAAGGATGTCTGACTCCTGTGCCAGCTCTCCAGGCTGAGCCCCAAGCTCCACATCCACTCTGTGTATCCTTTTTCCTACCACATATTCCAGCTGCCCCAAACCCTGAGACCCTTCCCCCGTGCTTGGGGGACTCACAGACAATCAGCAGTAACTGCCCCGTAACTGCAATCTGCTTTCTCAATGTTTTTCTTACATTCTTCCCTAACTGAAACAGGTTCGTACCCGAGGACACTACTTCGCCTGCAGCACCCTCAAATGTTTTTGCGACTGCACTCCCAGTACCACAAAGCATTGCTCTACAGCGTTGTAAGGAAAATATTTTCCCTTTCTCCTTTTAAAGCCCTCCAACTTTCCATTTCAACCCATCAGCCTACACTATGCACTATTTCCCCTTCTGCAGTCAGCTACTGACATCCACTTCTCTCTCTCTCATTTCTCAAATCTTCAGTTTGCAATTCTGGAAGATCTCAGTGGGCACATGGGTGGTACTCCCAACTCTCCGACTTCCCAATTCCATGACCTCAACTTCTCTCGTCACCTTGTCCTCCATCTGAAATCAGACACACAGCCTCCCTAGGCATCCTCTGACCTTGTTGGTGCTGACTATGCAGCTCCTCCACAAACTCAATGTGAAGACTTTCATCCTTTGGCCGATGCCTGTTTGTCCAGTTCAACCCTTCTAGTACTCAAATCCCAAAAATTCTTCAAGCCACTGGTGTCTGTAACCAACTTTCCCTGTCCTCTCTCTCATCTGGCTTCTCTGCTTGCCCAGCTGAAGTTTCATGGTCAGTAACGATCACTCCCTTAGATTCACCCTCAGCTTACTCTGTTGTTGTAACACTGTAAGATGAGATCCACCCTCAGCTTCTAAGCCTCCCTCTTGTTTTTGTTACATTTCGATGGCAAAACTTCAATGCCAGTGCCTTTTCTGCGTCTGTGCCTACACAGATGAGTGTGTCAGAAAAACATCCGGGGGATTGACCTCATTCCAACTTCAACCATTTCGCAGGTTTATTCCCTCCGCACCCTCCTAAATGACAATTTCATTATCCTCTCCTGACATGGTTTCGCCGTGTCCCCACCCAAATTCTCATCTCAAATTGTAATCCCCATAATCCCCAAGTGTCAAGGGCGGGACCAAGGGTGGAAGTGATTGAATCATGGGAGTGATTCCCCCATGATGTTCTCATGATAGTGAATGAGTTCTCATGAGATCTGATGGTTGTAACAACTGACTGGCATTTCTCCTGCTTGCACTTTTCCCTCCTGCAGCCTTGTGAAGAAGGTGCCTTGCTTCCCCTTCGCCTTCTGCCATGATTGTAAGTTTCCTGAGGCCTCCCCAGTCATGTGGAACTGTGAGTCAATTAAACCTCTTTCCTTTGTAAGTTACCCAGTCTTGGGTATTTACTTATAGCAATGTGAGACCAGACTAATACATCTCCTTTCCCTGTAAAACTCTTCCCCCATCTTTACTCTCAGCTGATGACCTAGCTTCCTGTTTCACCAAGAAAAGAGAAACAACCAGCAGAGCTCTTACGGAAGGTTTACCATCAAATCCAATTCTCATATGTCTGTGCCTGCATATTCTGCACCCCCTACTGTTACCAGGTGGAACTGGCCACTCTTTTGTCCAAGCCCATGCCTACATCTTACATCTGAGGAGATGATTACTGTTGGCTTCTTTCCTTACTAATTACCCATTGACTCTAAAACAAAAATGGAAACAATCTGCAAACATTGGTACAAGTTCGAAGAGAAGGCTCCATTATCTGAGCAGAAATGTCAGGGTAACAACCAGTGATTCTTGCTTTAAGAAGTCTTAGGCTTTTACTGGAAAATGGCTGTGAGATCCAGGTGTCTTCATAACTAGTTATGTTTGGGAGAGTCAGTTATCAACTTTTATCTGCAATATGGGATAACTGATTTCGCTTGTATTTGAATACACATTTATGCCTGCTATTCTGGAAACTCACAATATAAAAAAATGAAGGGAGTGTACTGTGATTCTCTAACTCCAGGATGTGGAAGTGATTCCAGTTTCTTATCCTCTCCTAACTAATCCTTTTGTTTTTATTCTCATATTGGAAATGGGCAGTTTTACTTTGCCACATATATACAGCAATCAAAAACACACAAACCAAAAACTCATTGATGAAAGTGAGCTGCCACATCTCTATTTGCATATTTCCTGGTCAAAGTTGGCAGAGACGATCTTTAGGAGTAAAAATAAATAACACTGGGCTGGGCGCGGTGGCTCACGCCTGTAATCCCAGCACTTTGGGACGCTGAGGCAGGTGGATCATGAGGTCAGGAGACTGAGACCATCCTGGCTAACATGGTGAAACCTCATCTCTACTAAAAATACAAAAAATTAGCCAGATGTGGTGGCAGGTGCCTGTAGTCCTAGCAACTCAGGAGGCTGAGGCAGACGAATGGCCTGAACCCGGGAGGCGGAGCTTGCAGTGAGCTAAGATCATGCCACTGCACTCCAGCCTGGATGACAGAGCGGGACTCCATCTCAAAAAATCAATCAATCAATCAATCAAATAAAATAAATAACACTGGAAATTAGGTCAACCAACCTGTTGCCAACTCTTTAGTGTATTTTAAGGATAACTTGACACCTAGATTTAACATACTAATACAGAGTTCGTAGTTCCATATAGGGATCAAGAAATGTATTTTTAAGCCGTCCAAACTATATATGTGTGTACATATATATAATATTTAGCACCCTGAATTATTTACTTAGCATATCTATTTAAATTATGACATGCCTCACTGAGCACAACACAGCATTTAAATAATCCACTTTCAATGGCCACCCTTGGTATAGATGTCACATGTTCCTACCCGTGTACAAAGAGGCTGTCATGAAATACAGATAACAAACACACAATACAAAAACCTGGTTTAAAAAAAAAAAAAGAAAAAAAAAAAAAGAAGGAAAGAAAAAAGCTCACACATTCACCCACAGACAGCAACTCAGCAATGTCTGTGACCATCAATCCCTCAGGCATAATTCATCTCTGCATGTATTTGTTTGCTCGTCTGCCACGATGCAGTGCCTGCTTCCTGCTGGAGTCTTGAGATGAAACACACTGGCAGATAGCAGATGTAGCAATTAATAACCTGTCAGGTCTGATGGATAGAAGAGGAAAAAAGTGTCCTCACACATATCTCCACCATGGTTTTCTTCCCCATTTCAGGGCGCCCAGGGTCAGGAGACATACTCGGCCTCCCTGGGGAGCCCAAACTGTCTCATTAGCGTCTATCTTTCATGGCAGTCTGATGCAGCCTTTGAGATGCTCACTCACCTGCTCTTCTCCCAGAATCCTGAAGTGATGGAGCTCTTTAATCAAGGAGTTGGGACAGCCAGCTGTTGGAAAGAAGAATTAATCACAAAAATGTCATTTTCACTCTGTGTGGTTATATGTTCTTACATACAGTTATGACTATCAACCGCCAGTGTTGCCTTTTGGGAGGACACAGATGTGTACCTGAAAAACACACATCTAACCAACCACAAAAAAAGCCAAACCTTCAAAAGAGCTATGGCCACTGCCTGGCCTCCAACTGCACCTCTTTAGAAAACAGTTGCATGTGACTCTAGCCAGGCCTTCTCTCCCCTCTGATTGTGATCTGGCCTTAGGATATCATGCCACTCTGGTTCTTAGAAACGTGTCCAGCATGTCACTGGTTCCTCACATACAGCCAGGATTCCATGGGGCCAGAGTAGGGAAGTTGGTGACCACAGGCTCTGACTTATTCATCATGTCCTGTTTGCTCACCCTTAAGGCCAGGGGCCTGCTCATGGAGAGGTAAGAGCAAAGATAGGGTAGCAGGACATCCATTCTTTGGAGGGCTCAGCTGGGGGTTAGTACCTTGCCTGGTTTTGTCAAGAGGCTTTGTGAAGACCTATTAGGTCCTGTGTTTAAGTTTGGAAAGGCCATCTTACAGAAGGACCAAGAGACAAGGACCAAGAGAGAAGGCCCCAGCAATTCTGGTGCCCATCACTTTCTTGTTCCACCCAATCAATCCAAGCCCCTTCAAACTTTCATATTTTCCTTCTTCAGTTGTAAAACGAAGTAAGTAAATAGATTAAATAAATAAATGAATATATATATGTATATGTGTGCATTTGTGTATATACACACATACACATATACACACACACATATACACACACGGAATTAAAATACATGTATAAAATATAATTATATAATTATATTTAATGTATAGCTATGAGTTATATATTTTTACATAACTCATATAAAAATTATATATGTAAATATATAATTTTATATAATTATAAAATTAATATAAAAATTGGCCTAAATATATATATTTACATATAATAATATAATATATATAATATAATACATATTCTATGTAAAATAAAATACAGTTGACCCTGGAACAACATGGGCTTGAACTTTGTGGGTCCACTTATACACAGATTTTTCTTCTGCCTCTGCTACCCCTGAGACAGCAGGACCAACCCTTCCCCCCGCTCCTCCTCCTCAGCCACCAGCTGTGAAGACAATGAAGATGAAAACCTTTATGATGATCCACTGTCACTTAATGGGTAGTTAATACATTTTCTCTTCCTTAGGATTTTTCTTACTAACATTTTCCTTTCTCTAGCTTACTTTAAGAATACAGTATATAATACATATAATCTATAAAATATGTGTTCATAGACTATTGATGTTATAGGCAGGGCTTCTAGTCAACAGCAGGCTATTAGTAGTTAAGTTTTGGGGGAGTCAAAAGCTCCACATAGTTTTTTGACTTCAGGGATGTTGGTGTTCCTAAGCCTTACATTGTTCAAGGCCCAAATGTATAGATACATACAATTTAGGCCAGTATATGCTTAATATCATTTAAAATGTGTTGCATCCCTGTCTTTTCAATAGAACTATTCCTCGATATTAGCTTGTAGTGATTTATACTATTATTTTTTTGAGTCAGGGTCTTACTCCAGGTTGGGATGCAGCGCGTAATCATGGTTCACTGCAGCCTTGACCTACTGGCTGAAGGTACCTCTTGCTTCAGCTTCCTGAGTAGCTGGGACTACAGGTGTGTGCACTACCAAGCCTGGCTAAGTTCCTTTTTTTTCCTAATTTTTGTAGAGATGGGATCTCACTATGCTGTCCAGGCTGGTCTCAAACTCCTGGGCTCAAGTGATCCTCCCACTTCAGCCTCCCAAAGTGCTGCGATTATAGGCATAAGACACTGTAACTTGCTCATTTATATTATTCTCTCCAGAAACAAAATTGATATAAAAATCTGTTTCTTTGAGATAAGACCTATGGATTACATAATCTATTAAACTTCCTATTAAGGAAACTGGATTGTATACAGAATATATCAACTAAACGATGGAGCCATTTCTCATATTCCTCAGCATTGTGATGTGACAGTGGTCAGAAGCCCTGAGAGTGTTTGTCTGGGGGAGAGCAAGCTGAGGACTGAGAAAACCTGTATTCACACAGATGAAGGTACTCACTGCAATAAAGATTAGATTTGTACATTGTTTCAGAGAGTAGGATTTAAACCAACAGAAAAAATGGAATAAATTGTCTTATAAGATAGTAACTGCAGGTTTTTCAACACACACGAAATGGATACTTATGCAAGATATTTTAGAGAGGAATTTTACTGGGTACAATGATGAATTTATGTGTCTACTTGACTGGGCTAAGGGGTGCCCAGATAGTTGATAACATGTTATTTCTGGGTGTGTGTGTGAGACTGTTTTTGGGAGAGACTGGCATCCGAATCAGTGGACCAAGAAGATCCACCCTCAGCAATGTGAGCAGGCATCGTCCCATCCACTGAGGGTACTGAGGGTCTGCACAGAACAAGAAGGCAGAGAACGACGAATGCTCTTTCTCTTCTAGAGCCTTAAAGATCAGATTTCCTGGTTCTCAGGCCTCCTGACTGCAAGACATACATGACCCCCAAACCTGCCGCCCCTAGTTCTCAGGCCTTCAGACTGAGACTGAATTAGACCAAAAGCTTTCCTGGTTTTCCAGCTTACAGATGGCAGATTGCGGGACTGCTTGGCTGCCATAATTGTGTGAGCCGTTCCCCCAGTAAATGTCTTCCTGTCTCTTTCTCTTTATAGATCCTATAGACAGAAAGGTCCTGTTTCTTGGGAGAACCCTGACTAACACTGAGTTCATTCCAATCCCAAAATTCTATGGCCATGTAAAATGCTGGAACATAGTTTTAGCCTATATTATATAACATTTCATACTTTGAGAAAGTACTTCATAAATGTTTACTGAGTAGTACAAAAGATTATAAAAATGTGCACAAAATTTAAACATAAGTGTAAACAGGTGATCCACCAAGAAAATAAATAAAAATCCTGGCCAGGTGTGGTGGCTCACACCTGTAATCCCAGCACTTTGGGAGGTTGAGGTGGGAGGATCACGAGGTCAGGAGTTTGAGACCAGCCTGGCCAACATGGTGAAACGCCATTTCTCCTAAAAATACAAAAATTAATCAGACGTGGTGGTGGGCACCTGTAATCCCAGTTACTTGGGAGGCTGAGGCAGGAGAATCACTTGAACCTGGGAGGTGGAGGTTGCAGTGGGGCAAGATTGTGCCACTGCACTCTAGCCTGGGCGACAAGAGCAAGACTCTGTCTCAATAAATAAATAAACAAATAACCCAAGGTGAATATTTTAGTGGAAAACATAATACGTTAGTTTCCACAGGCGTGTCTGGTACTGTAGAGAAGGAAAACTAGATCCTTCAAGTGAGAAACAGATGCTTGAGCTTGAGTTGCTTCTCCAACTAGAGTCCATGAAGACCTGCAGGCTGGAGATTCTTTTTGAGAAGTTATTCATTTTGGTGTTGTTATTCTGATGATTACCTAAACGATAGTAAAAGTGTATATTCTGGAGCATTTGATTGGCTTCAATTCAACCAAAAACTGCTATGAAATTCAGCCTCAAGTCAGTTCCTGTGCTTTTGATCTCTTTGGGAGCAAGTCATCGTAGTTTAGTTTGCTGAAATAAATGAGAAAGGAGTGGATAGAATGCAAGGGAGGCTTCCCCCACCAGTCACGTCCCATGGTCTGGGGCCGAATGTCGGAAGGGTAGAGTCACAGGAGAAGTGGTGGGGGAAGGGAGGCAGCCTGCAGCTCAGGGTCCCAGGCCTGCTGAGATGGAACGAATCTGGGCCAACCCCTCAGGGCCCTGTTTGGATCCCAAGCACTGCTTTAGTGTCGGTAAAATGATGGCCTCTGCCATATTAAATTGATAGAGTCCATCAGAATATTTTGGTCTTGTACTTTCACTTATACTTAATTGATATGTTTTTATTTGGGCCTTCTAGTTGTATAAGCATAAAGTATTTATAGCTCAGTTTATATCTAGATGCATTTAAGCCGTATTGTCTTAAAAATAATTTCATTCAACCTTGGGTGTTTTGGAGAATTTTTTGTTTCTTTACAAGTGGTCTTTTATGTCACTCAAACCTGAGAAAATGGCTTTGACTTATTTTAATCCTGGGTAAAATAAGAAACAATATTTTAAATTAGCTTATCTTCAGAATGTGTATTCTGGCCGTCTCCTAAGATACAAGCGAAAGGACTGATGTTGATGATAGCTCATATATAAACATCTTTCACAGAAGACTACGTAATTACTTGAAACACCTGGTAGATTCAAAAAACCCACCAAACAAGACCAGACACAGCGTAGACTTAGATGAGAAGAGCTGGAAGGGGTCAAGATATTTAAGAAGACCGTGGACGGCTATCTGCAAACTGTGCTCATCACAGGAACATTAGTATAGGAAATGGCCAGATATAAACTCAGTGTGAAGATGGGGCTTAAAAATAACAAAACTAGAACTGCAAGACGGGCACACAGAATGCATTCGTGTAGGGAGACAGGAAAACGTTAGTGGAGGGGGCGGAGGTGGCAGGGAGGAAGAAATGAGCCTGACAAATAAAAACCACAGTACTACTTCTGGATTTGGAGCGACAGAGACCATGTCCAATCCTTCCATGCCCTTTAAGCATCACCTCCCTCACATATGGGTTCTTTTGCACTCATTTTTGGTAAATCTGCATTGACTCTTAATGACCACATATTATTTTATGTAATGAGTATTCCTTACGTAATACGTGAGTAAGTTCTCACATGATTTTTTCTCCTTTGGGTGCTTGATGGGTGAAACTGGTATGAAACTCACTGCTTTTCAACTTTTGAGATTCAGTCTTTCCTCATTGTGAAAAGTTAAAAAAAATCACCTCCAGAACTCTGACCTCTTTATTGGATCTCAAAGATTCTCGGCAGCATCTCTGAGACTCTAATAGAAGTGTTTGGACATCTACTGGCACTGAAAATATTTGTA